ATACGGCAGAGGTGGAACTCTGCTGGAGTCCAGCCCAGGTTCAAAATGTCGAGCTCACAGACTGCAAGCCACCCTGGCCAGCACAGCTGTCTGCCCCACATCAGGCCCCAGGTCAGTCCTGAAGTGATCCTGTCCTGGCACAAGCCCAGCCCCCATGTGAAGCCTTTGTCACTTCCTGCACTGTTAACATGGGGAAGGGAGGAGGGGTCTAGCTAGCCGGTCACTCTCCAGCAGGGGTCAGAGGTGTTCCCATTTGACTAGAATGGGCCAGCCTGGGCTCACCACGGCGGGCTACCCAGCTCCACCTTCAGACTCTTTAGGGGCTCTCATGGGCCCCTGCTGTGTGGCCCTGGGTCCCTATAAAAATGATGCTTCTTGTATCTGCTCCATGGAAGAAAAGTAGTTTTACACAGGGTGTCTGTGTGAACGTATCTGGTGAACACCCTCAGGGTGCAGGCTGCCTGGAACCTGGCCCAGAGCCTCGGCTTCCTTTCCTGAACAGTGAGGGCTGCCTGAGCCAGCCTTCCAGGCCAGGGGGGATCTCAAAGCTCAACCACAGACCACTCCCACAAGGGCTGGTCCTTTCTTCCCCTGCCCTGGCCTTAATTCCCTCATTAGCAGCATGAGCTACTCTGGGTGCCAGGGGTTTGGAGTCTTGTGTGCCGGAAGAGCAGAGTTTCAGGTGACCCGCAGGGGTAGACAGTGCTGCACTGCCAGGGGACAGGAGGAGGACGTGCATGCTGGGATGGAGAAGGCCTTGAGAGGAAAGTCTGCTGAGGCGATGGGGAAAAGCAGGGGTCCCTTTAGAGCATCCTCAAGCTTGAGAGATGTATTAGACATGCAGGCGGAGCCTGCGGAAGGGAAGAGAGAATTCTGGGGAGAAGACCGGTGAAGGTGTAACTCAGGGTTGTTAACATATCAATAGTACCTTAAATACCATCTGAATGGCACTAAAGAAACCCAGTGAGTGCAGCCAGAGGAGAAAAGACCAAGGACAGAGGCCCGGGCCCATCAATGTGCAGAGGGTGGAAAGAGGTGGCCCCAGAACCAGGAACAAAGACTTAGAAGACATTTCCAGTAAAACAAGGGAACCAACAGAGAGTGAGCACCGTACCAAGAAAAGAAAATGTTTCTGGAGAGAGGTGCCATCTGTCACCACATCCCCCAGGCTGCTGCAGGTCCAGGTCGGATCTAGACTACAAACTGGCCATTGGATTTTCAATATGGCTGGCATGAGAAGCGTGCTCTCAGGGAATAGCACCAAGAAAAGCTGGCTTGCAGGGACTGATGGAGAACTGGAATAAAAGACCCGAGAGCTTCAGGAATAGGGAAGCTTTGCTCTAAAAGGCAGCTGGGGGTTGCACTTGGAGGACAAAGTTGCTGTGGGCTCCCAGTGTGGCGCTGTCTACATCGGCAGGTGACGACACTGGATCCCACAGTAAAGGGTTACAGCTGGGAGCAGGCTGTGTGAGGAGGCTTGGTTCCCATCCAGGGTTGAGGTGGTTGTGCGTGGGAGCACCAACGGCCATCCTTGAGGACGGGAGGGATGGCAGAGCACCGGGTAGGAGGTGGGCTGGTGAGTGTGAATGTTCTCTGCTATTTTCTGCGCAGTCATCACCAAGAGTAAGAATGAGGACATTGGGAGGCTGAGGGGGAAGAGGGAGACGCCTCTCGGAGTGTGCAGGCCAACTGGATCCACGTGGGGTGAATCTGTGGTTTTCACTGTGGACCAGGTAGAACAGGATCCCATCGAATGCTCCAGGCAAACGAAAGGTGTGAGAGAGGGGCAGTTAGAGGAAAAGTCACAACTTAGAAAAGCGTGAGAAATGGTCAGTTAGAGGAAGAGAGTCCCGACTTAGAAGGGCATGAGAGGGGCAGTTAGAGGAAGAGAGTCCTGACTTAGAAAGGCATGAGAGGGGCAGTTAGAGGAAGAGAGTCCCGACTGAGCCATGATCCTCTAGTTTGGCCACCTCTCCACCCCCCATCTGTTCACCTACTTACCCGTTCTTACATCCATCCTTCCACCAGCCCACTCACACATCTGTCCATACATGCATGTACATTCAGATTCTCATGTGTACACAAGTATGTGGGGTCACCGGATGCTTTTGGAAGCTGTCACCCTTCATATGGAAGAAACTTTTCAGCCCCAAGCCCTGTGGCCCAAGCCTCGGGCTGACATTGGTGGCGGTGGTGGTGGCCCTGACCTAGGAAGAAGGAAGCAACCAGGGACAGACACTGGAGCTCAGCTTGTGGGAGGGGGGTGCGACATTTGCAGGGTTTTGAGTGGGCCCGGCGGCCTCCGCTTCTCCCTTGGATCTTCATCAAGGCCACAGGCCAGAATCTCCCGGGAAGAGCTTAAGTTGTCTGGTGTCTCAGTAGTTCTAGGGGGCAGCTGGAGAGGTGGACAGACCAGCACCTCAGGTGGTTTCAGTATTCAGTGGGGTGGGAGTGGGGGCAAAGCCATCTCCAGCATGGTGGGTGGGAAAGGGAGCAGGGACATCAGGAATCACCTCAGGACCCGCCAAGACATAAACAAGGCCAGCTTCATTCTGTGCTCCCTCAGCCAGGGTGCCCTTTGCCAGCAGAGAGGCCTGTGAGGAGGACAGTTGGTGACCAGGGCCACCTGGTGGCCTGGGGGTGTAGTGGGAGGGTTGGTGCCCATCTCTGTGTGCCCCAGGGTTTAGACTCTGTCCTCCATCTCGGGGCCCTCTAGGGAGAGCTAGGGTTCCGCATGGCACGTGATGGCGTGGGGTGCAGAGCCAGGTGACTGCACTACTGGCCGGTCCTCTCCTGTCCTAACCAGTCAAATGGCCTCTGGGCCATAATCAGACTGGGCCAGTCTGATTAGCTGTGAGGTGGAGAAGGAAGTATCTGCCTTCTGGGATGGCAGAGTGAGTTCACGTCCTCAACACAGCGTGCCTTGTGCTCTGATGTGCTGCTTTTATTACAGTGTCCTGGAGACATCTCCATCTGGGGATGCCTCTTGTCTCCCCCGCCCCAGGCCTGGGTACACCTGCCCAAGACCCCACCCAGCTGCTCCTTCACTGTATCCTTTTGCTCTGAGCTCCGGGTTCCAGCCGTGAGACACCTCACAGTAGGCAAGATTGACAGCCCCAAGTGGGACACAGGGAGGGAAGACATAGGAGAGGAGGGGTAGGGTGAAGAACAGACAGGTAAAGATCAGGCATCTCCTTTTCTCTGGTCTTAGAGGTACAGAGCAGGAGCTGAGAAGCTGGGATAAGTTAGTGAAGACACCCATCAAATATTTACTGGGAATCGATCTCCCTCTGCAAGAACCCTTGACAGGCCCCTCCCTCACTCTACGTTGGAACATCTTCCTCCATCCCTAGCTCCCTCTTGGCCAGCCCGGATGATACTAGGTTCCCTACCCTGATAGACCTTCTTGGGGTACTGAGGACCAATGAGGCAGGAGCGTCTAGAGAAGACGTATATCCATGAGTGTGTGTATGAGAGAGAGAGAGAGAGCTCCATACCACCCAGTTTCAGTTTCTGCAGAAAGCCAAGGGACCTGATGGTTTTGCTAAGCAGGTGGAAGGGGAGGGAGAAGGAAGAAGGTGGAATCTCTGCACCTGAAGCTATCAACCTGTCTCACCCAACCCAAGGTGGCCAGCACTGGGGGCTTTGGGGAGCAGGGCGGGGCTGGTGCCCAGGCAGACATGGTGGGGCAGAGCACCCGGCCCTGTGATGGTACACGGGCCCCTTGGAGCGCGGAGTGCCGTCACTCTGAACTACATCTGGGCTGCTGCCATCTGGAACAGGGTCTCCGGGCTATGTTGAGGCCCTTCCACTTAGAGGGGGGCCGCTGAGGGAGGGGGGCCCCAGCCTTTCGGGTGAATGACCTCTCCTTCCCTTCACACCCAGGGGATGGAGGGGCCTCATGCAGAGGGGCCAGGTGTGTCTGCAGTGAGAGACTGAGTCTGTGAGCCAGGGGCTCCACTCACCCCATTTCTCCCTGTGCCAGGTTCTCTGATAGCATGAAGGCCCCAGGCCTGATCTCAGGATGGACAGGCCGCCCACAGAGCTGTTCACATGCCATAAATCTTCATCATGATGGGGCTGAGATGTGCATCTCAAGCTCTTGGGGTGCTGGATGCTGACCCTGTGCCCGGGCACCCCGCTTTGAGGAGCACTGGCTATCAGCACACTGCAGGGGAGAGGGGACTCCTCAGAGGTCCCACAGCAGTGGGGACCTGTGTCTGAGGAGTGCTCAGCCGGTCCCCAGGCCCCTTGAGGCTCACCCAGTGAGGATACTGGGGGGGGATGCTGGGTCCGGCTTCTGCACGGTGGCCTGTAATGAACCCAAAGCTGGTCCTAGACCCTCCTGTCACTCCCGCCTCCCCCGGAGAAAGCGAGGTTTCAAATGGTGACACGGCGGAGGTGGGCTGGCAGGGCTCTCCCTCTGGGAGAAGAGCGCAGGCGCCATTGTCTGGGGGCTGTGGTTCTGTGAGATGCCACTGTTGGGGCCACCCGGTCGAAGATAGTGGGGATCCCTGTGTCAATTCTGAGACGCAGGTGGCTCAACATGTAACAAAGTAATCCGTTTCTAAACATTAGGTGAGTTTAAAGGTGAGTTTAAAGAAAGAAAAATAACCCAAGCCTGCGTACCCAGCTGTGAAAAGTACACGTGGTTTCACACGGGGAAGTTCCCCGCCCCCCCCCCTCCGCACAGCCCCACTCCAGCCCCAGCTCTGAGCCAAGGCCCCCACTGGAAGAGCTCCATCCAGGGGACTTGGAAAATGCCAATGAACGTACTGAGTGGACAGCCAAAGAAGCTTCTGGAAGAACCTCTGCAGACCCGAAAGGCGCTAACTATCCCTTCATCCACCTGTAAACCTCTGTGGACCCAAAAGGCGCTTCATCCACCTGTCTGTCCATCCATCCTCCCCTTGGGCTCTGGGAAGGGACCGGACTGTAAACAGAATTTGCTCTCTCTTCCTCTGCAGGGCAATCAGGACGCCACGGCTCCACCTGAAGCAATGGCCCAGCCCTACCCCCCCGCCCAGTACCCCCCTCCCCCTCAGAACGGCATCCCTGCCGAGTACGCCCCGCCCCCGCCACACCCCACGCAGGACTACGCGGGCCAGACCCCCGTCCCCGCTGAGCACGGCATGACCCTGTACACACCAGCACAGACGCACCCCGAGCAGCCCGGCACCGAGGCCAGCACACAGCCCATCGCTGCCACCCAGACAGTGCCGGTAAGGGGCCCCCTGACACCCCAGGAGCCCCAGGGAGGGGCAGGTGGCCCCCGGGAGGCTGGGCAGGCCTCCAGAGGGTGGGAGGCCTCAACACTGGAGCCTGGTCCAGGGTCCTGGACCCTCCTGGATTTGATACCTTGGTGTCGGTGTCAGCAGGTGTACCACAGAGGAGAGGGGCAACTGTCCCCAGCTTCATTGGGGGGGAGGGGTACGTCCTCAGCTGCCAATGACCTGTTAATGGAAAGGGAGGGAGGGAGGCAGGCCCGGAGGCTTGGGCCTGCCTGGGGTCTCTGGGGGGCAAGCTGGGGTGGGCGGTCAGGAGGCAGCAGTGCTGTCTCGGATTGCAGGCCCTCCTATCATTTCTAATCACTTGTAATCTACCTGCTTGGCTGCCCTCCAATCAGATAGCTTCAATTATGTGGTTGTAATGCAGCTCAGAGGCGAAAGTGCTGAGCCCTGCACTTCTCAGATTTCCTGGTGGAGAAAGGAGCAGCCACCAGGGTGGGCGGTCTCTGCCCCCCCGGCAGCCCCCCCCAGGACCTGGCTCCTACTCAGGCCCCGATTCCCTTCCCTCTGCCGCCTCTTCCTTCCCTGGCCTTCTCCCCTGTATTCTCCCCCCCCCCAGCCTTCCCCTTCCCCTGCTCTAGGGTGTTGGTCCATCCAGCGTCCCTGCTGGCTGTGTCTCACAGCTGGCTGATGAGCACTGGGCAGGAGGCCAGAGCTCCGCACTCCCCGGGAGCCATGGGCCCCGGCTCCGCGCTCTCCTCCCCGCCCCCCCCCGCGGGGCACCCAGCTGTGCCGCCTCAGCCCCCCCCTCTACCTCCAGCCTCACCCCAAGACACTCTACTGGGCGTGTGGTGTGGGCAGGGACCCCCAGCACCCTCCAGCTCTCCGTGGGGGAGCCCCGCCAGCTCTCCCCTGAGCTGGCTCTGACCTCAGCTGCTACCCAAACCGTGTCCCCTCCCCCTGCTTGAAGGCAACCAGCCACGGTCTCCTGTAATGCCATCAGACCCACTTCCCGAGGTCCCAGCACAGCGTGTCTCCTGTGGACACAAAGGCCCCATCACGGGGATGGTAAAACCGGAAGCCACACCGTATTTCCCAGGCTGCCCAGCTGTGTGTCTCACAACCCCTGACCTCAGGGAGCTCAGGAACAACAGAGATGACCCCAACCACAAATGAGTCGTGGCCGATGACCCAGGTTTCTTACAATGGGCAACAGCAGACACATCCGTGTGGCCAAAATCTGTACAACCTCCTCCTGAGCAAATGGGGTCTGCGGTGGTGAGCCGGCGGGCCCTGCCTGAACACAAGACGAGATGGCCAGGCGTTGGGCAGCTCACCCTGTCATCCTGGCTACTCAGGAGGCTGAGATCTGAGGATCACAGTTCAAAGCCAGCCAGGGCAGGAAAGTCCGTGAGACTCTTTATCTTCAATAAACCACCAGAAAACCGAAAGTGGCTCTGTGGCTTACGTGGTAGACTGCTTGCCTTGAGCTGAAGAGCTCAGGGACAGCACCCAGGCCCAAGCACCATGACCACCACCACCAACAAAAACAAAAAGACAAGATGGCACCCAATGGGAATCAGTGGCTTCATAACTGGTCAGCAGAAACTAGCACAAAGCCTCTGAACACCGAGGCCACCAGACCGGCACAACCAGCAGGACCTACGTGAGTGAATCCTTGCATTTCACCTTTGCTTGGATGTTGTTGAGTGCCATTGCATCTCGGACACCAAATTCACCCTAGGGACTGCAGAGAAGAAATGGCCAGACTTGTCCCCTGGTTCCCATGAGTCAAACACAGCAATGTCAGAATCTGGGGAGGGGCCGCTGGGGCGGGGTGGGGTGCCAGGAACAGCTGGCAGGGGGTCACACGATCCCCACTGCATCCATCCCAACCAGCCACACCGTAATTCCCACGCTGCCACACCTTGGTGGAAATCGCTGCGTAGGGGCCTCCACCAGGAAATACTGACACCCCGAAGGACAGGCAGCCTGCACGGTGCGGTCCTCTGCATGGGTCTACAAGAAGGTTAGGGTCATGGTGCCCCAGAGGTACAGGAGAGTGCCTCAGAACCCAGCGTGGACTGAGTGTGGAAGAGGCTGGACCAGCCTGGAGGACACTCGGGTCTGCCTTGCAAAGACCTCGCGCTCCCAGGGGGCTGAGCTTGGTGACTTCCGAGCACTTCATGGAGCAGAGCTACACAGCTTGAGAGGAAGCTGGGAGGCAGGCAGACGCCTGTCCTGTTCTGAGATCCCCGAAGCAACCACCCCACCTCTCCCCCGAGACGCCGACATGCTGGCAGCAGAGCAAAGAGCTGCAGGCCCGGTCAGATGCCACCAGCCTGTCTTTGAGGACTCCTCCAGCAGCTCTCTCAAGCCTCCTCTAGACCCTTCCCCAAGCAGCCTGGGGCTTCTCCCAACCCAGGCTCTTCTCCCCCCACCATCCAGGGTACCGCTCCCCCCCACACACCCCAGGTCACATTGGGTGCCGGCTATCAGTACAGGTCTGGCCTGTGGCCCTGACCCCCTCCCCCGCCACACACAGCCCAAGTACCTCGTGGCCCAGTGGGCTCACCCCATCCCAAGGGATTTCCTCCTGTGTGTGCCCACCTGCCCTGGTGGGGGGTCGACCAGGAACTGAGAGATGTCCCATCCCCAGTGGCCACCGCCGCCAGGCTGGCTCTGCCCAGACCCAGGGTGGCCCAGGCCGCCGCTTTGTCTTAAGGCCTGAGGCTGGAGGCTGAGAGAGAGTCTTGGTTCCTGTAGCTCCTACACCTGCTCCTCTCCCCCGACCGTCCCCAAGACACTGGTCCTGGCTCAAGCAAACTGTCCTGCATGCTCGGCCTTGCTCCAGCAGCCCCTTCTTCCTCCCCCGGGAGAGCTTCCAGCCAGGAATTGAGAGGATTCCTGTCTCGCCTTGCTCAAGACCTTTTCCTGACCAACCCCACTGCCCAAATGAGATGCTCAAAGACCCCAGGTAGCTGAGGCACAGCTATCGCTGGGGGGTGGGGTGGAGGAAACCCAGGGGGTGCCCACCACTGACCCCCTGTGACCCACAGAGGCTGGAACCCCATGGACCCCTGGGAGGCTGTGCTGGTGCTGATCTCCACAGCTCCAGGGTGGGTCCTAAACCCCTGCCCCGCCCCCCCATGGCCTTGGCTGCGGTCATTCTCTGGGACAGCTGTGTCTCCACGCATGGAGCCTCCCCTGCTGGGGCTGGTCTTGGCTGGCTGGAGAAAGGAAGGTTCCAGGACCCAGAGGTCCTGCTGTGAATCTCAAGTCTCACTTCTTGGGAGACCAACGCCAACACAGATATGGGGAGGGGCAGGGCTCTCCCTGTCACCCCACAGCACCCCGAGCATGCTGCAGCCTCAGATCCCAGACTCCTCGGCCCTCAAAGTCAGGGTGGACTAGGGCAGGAAAAAGCAGAAGGAAAGAATTATCGACTCCCAAACCAGGCCACAGTCTCTGTGGTGCGATGTGTCCCCTGGGCTGGTGGGCGCCGCAGACCCCGCCAGTGCTGGGAGCTGCTGAGTGGGGGTCTCCCCCAGCCCAGCACCCCCAGGTGCCACACGCAGAGACTCCCCCTTCTGAGGCCCC